AAGACAAAGAGAGGGCTCTGTACTCTGAGCAGGAGGAGAAAGGTGAGGTTAAAGTATTCTATCTGACCTTTTCTTTTGTTTGCTTATCATTCAGACTGTAGTTGTTGTTGGTCTGTAAACTGGATGTTAATGTCTAGCAGCTAAATACTTTGGAGCTCTATAAACAGCCTATTTTATAAGTGTTACCACTACAGCTACTTCCATTAGTTGTGTGATTATGAGAAGCCTTGCTGCTGCAACTTCTTAATATTAAACCATTTATAAGGTGCAGCGGCAATAAAATTAAAGTTATTTATCTATCAATCAGCTGTTGTAGAGGTTAAAATGAAGAGCCTGATACTTATAAATTATTGTCTAGATTAAATCAAACTTGCTTTTTTACTTTTTTACCCCTGAAAAATAACCTAGGCTTGTATGTTTGGATTTAATAACATATCGATTTCTGAAATATTTCATTAACCTTTTGCAATTCTTTCAAGAGAGAAAATTCCAGGAACTAGATTGATAGTAGTAAATACATTTCAGATTTCTTATCTTGTTTCATTGATAAAATAATATATTTCTGATTATATCTAGATTTATTTAATAAAGCTGCACTCCTAATTCTGTGAAACTAAAACAGTTTGAATAATGTGCTGACCCTCTATCACTTTGTCAGTCATGAAGGCTGATGCAGCAAACAGTGGCCAGCAGAAAAGATACGACCAATAAGCAGCAGTTTGGAGTTGTCTTTTAATCTGTAGAAAAATACACATATATTTCAATAAGAAGTTTGAAATAAAAGATAAGCTCCTCATATTAAAAAAAAAGTTATTCTTAATGTTTGAATTAACCATAAAGCGTAGCCGTCTTTTTTTAGGAGTAAAGAACATGGCCCAGATACTTTGATAAAAATCCTTAAGACACAGCATTTAGAGGCTTTTCATGTCAATTTTTGCTCCTAAAATCCTTGTGTTGTGTTATTGAGCGAACAATCATTAAGTTTAAATACAAAGAGAGAGAAAAATTATAGTGCATTTAAAAATATTCATTAGAATATTTACTTGCTAGGTAAGTAAAACAGGTAAAAACAAAACTACTGGCTGTATATAGTCAGCATATACAGTAGCTGTTCAGTGGTGAGCTTATGCTAAATTTCACAAGTAACCAGTTTGAGCTGTTATACAGTAACATTAATTCTAATATGATCTGTAGTTAAACGCAATTTATTTAATGCAGGATTTTTTTGCCCCTAGATGTACAGAAAGAAAATGATTAAAGAGACAAGGAGATGGAGACAGATACAAGAGACCAGTGTTGGGGGTAAGACTGTAATATATTACGTTCAGCAGTAGAAAATTAAAATGAAAAACAGAAGAAGAACATATATACAAACTGAAAATAAGAACTGCTCATATTGCACCTGCATCGGTTCAAGGAATATATCTTGACCTGGGAGTGCTAACCTTCTGGAAGGACAAGTGGATGATCTTTTGTGTCTTTGCATTCAGGTCACTTATTTCATGATTCCTCCTTGCATTAGGTCCTATTTTTCTACTTGGATAACAAGGTCATTTAACAGGCTGATACTGACATTCTTGCACTACTACCTGCAAAAACAGAAATAAAATTCAAACGTTTGGCTCACAGCATCGCTATAATCATTTAGGTGAGCACCAGATCTTTAGAAGGATTTACAGATTATTTACCTCAAAAGGGTGAAAACGATAGATATAACTATATAGATATCTAGATATAGATAACTAAATATCATGGATGGGTAGAGTGATTGAATATTATGGCATTTCCCTATTTCAATCCCTTTTTGAGGGGGAAGGATTGTTCTCCTAGAGAAGAACTGAAGCTAAGTATAGCAACTTTTCTTGTTTAATCATCTACATATTAGAAATGGTATTCAGGCTAAACTTCAGCATTAACTGTTTCAAGAAAGCAAATAAATCCCTTTACATTTTTATTGATATAAGTATTTTCTCAGTTTTTTTTGCAACAAACAAATCCATTTTGGAAGAATAGTTTCTCTGAAGTTGAAGTACAAGTTCCTAATCTCAGAGATATTATTTGTGATTTTTGTGCAGATATTGTGGCTACAGCTTTACCTTGTTACAATTTGTTCCCTGTTTCTTAAAAAAGTAATTCAATCTAACAAGAGATGAGCTTAAAATAGTCTGGTAACCAAAACCAACTTTCAGCTGAAATGGGCCAAAACAGAAACTCAAAAATCCGATCTATTTCCTTCCAACAGACGAATGATACTAAGCAACACAGGGTCCTAAAAACAGCACTTATTGTTTGAATTCTGTTAATAGGTAAAAGAAAAAAGTAAGTAAGGTTTGTAGGTGTGTAGCTTTCAAGTTCTAGCTTGCAATGAAACATACAGGTTTTTACTATCTATACTTTCAAGTTGAGATATTTTATTGAACATGAAGAATTCAGTTTCAGTAAAGGTAGCTTTACTCATAATCTATGAAAGTCCCCAAATTTTTCATAAATGGGCACAATTCCTTTTGTTTGATAAGAATATAACTACCGTCCTGTTTAAAAGCCACTGCTCTCTTACAGACCAATGTGCCACTTATCAGTTTATCATAAAATTGATGATAGTAATCATTAAGTAAAAATAAAATCCTGCTCTTACATCTTATTTAAAGAATAATCTTAAACTGCTAATATCTTTACCTTAGAATAAGCCACAAAATTCTGGTTAGATGATCAATAAATTGGCTTGTGAAGAACTGGTGATCTTTCCAGGGTGTATCCCACATTTTACCCATATATTGCTGAAGATAGGTACCAGCCCCGCCATGACAATGGCGGATAAGCTGAAGAAGAATGATGGATGGATATCTATAGCGTGATATCTGACTGGAACATTTTCTGGTTATAGATTCTCTTTTAGAGAAGTCTCTGTCTTTTCTATGCTTCGAAAGGCCATTGTGCCAGAGATAACAGTGAGGGAAAAGACAGAGAAAACAGGATGGAGGATGCATTAACCCTCTGCAGCCAGAGGCCACTGAGGTGAGGAAGGAGCACAGAGAAAGGGCAATGAAGGATTGGAAAGTAGTTTTCCAGTGTTTGATGGAGTAAAACAGGAAAGTGGGCAGCTGGTGGGTCACAGTATGAAAAAGGTTGCAGTAAAGTGTCAGGAAAGCATATGTCCCAGGGTACTCTCTGTATATATATATATATATATATATATATATATATATATATATATATATATATATATATATATATATATATATATATGTAAAAAATTTGAAAATAAGAATTATTCACATTGTGCCTGCATTGGTTGTGTTCATGGAATATATCTTGGCCTGGAGTGCTAACCTTCTGGAAGGACGAGTGTATGATCTTTTCCGTGTCTGTGCCCTCAGGTCACTTATTTCATAATTCCTCCTTGCATTAAGTCCTATTTTTCTACTTGGATAACAAGGTCATTTAACAGGCTTATACTGACATTCTTGCACTACTACCTGCACAGCATGTATCTCTCTCTTTGTCTCTCATTCAGGATTTTTTTTCTCATACCCTTTCTTCTCTCCCACCTCCTCTGCGTTAAGTTAGGCCAATTTCCTCTCTTGCTGCTTCTCAGTATAAATGATGCTGACCCTCAGAGGGACCCTGAGGGATTCGGTCTCTAAACAGGCTTTACAGCCAAGATAAATGACAGAGCAGCCAGCACCCACCTGGGCAGCATATCGTTTTCCATGCTTCAGGTAGGTTTGATTTATTTTAGCTAGCATATAGCCTGGAAAGGCATCTTTAATGAAGTGAAAACTTTTTCTTTAATTCCACACTTTTTAATTAAACTAAGGCTAAGCTCATTATGAAAAAATGAAAGGTGCAAAGTCAGGTTATATGCCAATTCAAAAAAGATATAAAAAACATTTGAACATAATAAAATAGGTTTGTATACACCGGGCGTCCATCCCGATAGCGTTTAGAGAGTCCTTTTTAAGCCTGAGTAAAATAACGGCACCTGACGCAATAGGCAGACATAGGTGGACAAGTGCGATAACTGGCGAACTACTTAATAGAGCCCTACCCTATTGCAGTGTCTTATAGTAAAGCAACAGCTGGAATGGCCGAAGCTTCGTATCACAATACCAAAAGAAAATAAACTCCCTTTCCCAACAAACCCAAACACAGACACAGCATCAACATAGGAAGCAATCAATATATTTCTAAAATTTCTTGTGCTTAGACTGCAGAGACAAAAATAGCTATGACTAGTGTCTGCATTCATAAGGACTTTACTTTGCTCTATGTTTCCTAGTTTTATTGGTTTAATTCCTTTTTTGTTGTAATTTCTAGATTTGTTAGTTCTCATGTTTTTCTGTTGTCCTCTGTAGCCCTCGTGTGTGTGTGTGTGTGTGTGTGTTCCTTTCCCCTTGGCTCCCTCATTGTCTCCTCACACCTGCTCCTTGTCAGCTCGTTAGCCCTCCCTTTGTCTCTGTCAGCTATATATGCTCTCCCTCTGCTCTCACTCTTTGTTGGTTTGTTGTTGCTGGTCCTGTCGTTGCCGTTGTCCTCTCACCTCGTCTCTCCCTGGCTCCTTGTGCGTGTTTCCTTTGATGTCTCCGTGGTTCTGGTCTGAGTTACATTTTAGTTGGATTTTTGGATTTTGCCTCTGTAATTAGTGTTTTTTCATTAAAACTACAAGAATTCACCTCAGCCTCTCTGCTTCTGCATTTTGGATCCTCTTAACTACAACCAAGACGTGACAACTGTACTCATAACCTTTTTTGAGACTCACTTCTTAAAAAGTTTTAAGGTAGCTTTATGTTGCTGTAATGTATTTTCAAAAGAATTCCAACAGCAGTTGTTTTCAAATTTGGATTTTCTTTCACCTTTCTCTAATTTTTAATGAGACAGCTTTCATTTCCTCTCACAGTTCACCAACGCCACTCAGTGACTTCTAGTATATAGTATAAGTTTTTTTAAAACCTTTTGTGTGTTTTTTTTAATAGACGTCATTTGTAGCTTGCTTCACCCACCTGAACCACTTTTTGGGCCTGTATATCGACAACCAGAAGCCTGCTTTGAAATGGCTGGGCCACATAGATGTACTTATCCCTGACATTGACAGCTGAGGACCACACACAGCGCTGGGGTGACACTCCCTCACCTTTAGGGCACATCTCCTCCTGAGAACAAAAAAAAAAACAGAATTGATTTACAAATTGCAATCAAGGGAGTAAAAGAGGTGGTAGTAGTGAAAATAGTGGAGAAGGACAGTATACAGTATGTACGCATTTCTTGGATTATTAGGGAGTGCAATGGTTGGTAAAGAAAAACACTGCTTGAGAGATTTTTTTTTGCCAATAATTGATCCTGTTTGATCCGGTCTTGCTGCAGTTGTTGAAGAAGTGAGGTCACACCTGATCCAAGAAAGCTAAAAGGCTAAAGCAGGTATAAATGTGCTATCCTTTAGGTGCTGGACTACTTGTGTCGCTTCTGTCCAGGCATTTCGTAATGGTAACAGCAACAATACTTGCTGAAGATAAATTCAATTTAGTTCATTTATATAGCACCAATTCACAACACATGTCATCTCAAGGCCCATAAATGAGACAATTCAACCAAATCATTCAGCCAAATTGATTCAAAGTTTTCTATCTAAGGAAAACCACTTGATTGCAGTGACTCATTGACTCTTCAGCAATCCCTCACACTAAGCATGCTTGTAGTGACAGGGGAGATGAAAAACTCCCTTTTAACAGGAAGAAACCTCCTGCAGAACCAGGCTCAGTGTAAGCGGCCATCTGCCATGGACAACTGGGGTTCAAGGAGAGGACAGAAGAACACAGAAAAACAAACAGACGGGATATATAAATGACACAGTTGTGCAAAAACTGGAAGAAGATAATGCAGTGTTAATGTCAGTGATCTTTATTTGTAAAATCTTTCTGTTTGTGTTAATGCTGTTACTTTAGCATTGCTAGTCAGTATGCCATCACCATAATGACTCTGGAGAAACAGAATTGCTGCAGCATCCCTTTGACATAAATAAGGCGAATGTAATTCTTCTTTATCAAAATATCCTTAACTACTTGTGTTTTTAAATGTTGATATTTGTTTATCTGATCCCTTCAAAGTAACAACTGATTACTTCCTTCCCTCCCTTCTTTAAAATCAAGTTTCTTAAGCTTGAAGCCAACATATTCACACACCTAAACAACTGGGGCTTGTAATAAAAGCTTATACTGTTCGAACAACGAGACAGCACTTATGGTCCTAGGAAATATTCTCACATCTTGTGATTCACATATTTGTTCATGATCTGCATTAACAAACCTTAAAATCAAACCTTGACTGCTTGATCTACTAATTTATAGCAATTAAGATCTTTTCTCAATTAAAGTAACTCCTTTGGAGCCCCATACCTCCTTTTACTGGAAGTCACTTAGGCACAAACCACCACTTACTTCAACAACATAATTTTCTTTGCTCCATTGATCAAGAATTTTAAAATACAGTGGACTTCTGGTTATCTAAACCAGCAAACACAGAGAAAAAGGTTAATAGAGGCACAACTACAAGGATTTAACTGTGTCCCACTCCTGCGTGCCTCACGAAAGAGAAACCGCTGTTTATAGCAGAAACTGGCTAACACACGTCTTATTGAGTTTATATTGATCCTTTATAGTATTACTCTCTCCTGTAAAACCAAACTCCCTCAGGAACAGGCAACTTTTACGTTTTAAATTTTCTTGCTCTTGCAGATGGATGTTATCCAATGCATTCAAAGCCCAAGGGCCTAAAGTGTACCCTATATACAATGTACCATTGGAAACTATTGACTAATGGAGACAAATAATTCCATTATATTTACTAAAGCAAAGAGCTATATTGTGACAGTAGGAGGAAGGTGAAAAGTAAAGGTCATTCCTGGACTGAAATAATAAAGAAAAATGTTTAAAAATGTGTAAACAGAATCTATATATATATATATATATATATATATATATTTATATATATATATATATATATATCCTACTTTTCGGAGGAGGACAAGTCTTGAATATGACCATATTTTTTCTATACTATATGTATACAAACAAGACTTTAATTACCTCTCTCATTTATCATACTTGATTTTTAATAAAGCATTGACTGCATTTTTACAAACACCAGAATAAAATCTTTTGCGGTACAATATTATATACCAAACATTTACTCTTCATGCCTCCTGAATGTTTTTTCATTTTGTTTTATGCCAACTACAAAATTTGATCAATTTCATTTGGGATTCTATGTTGTTAGACCAGCACAAAACATCAATTATAGTAGCAGCCATTTAAAATGGCCCTTCCTAGTCAAAAGTCATGGCAGCAAAATCCCCTCCAACTTCCAGCCACTGGTCTTCTTATTAATATTTTTTTTACTCCGAGTCCACCCTTTCACTGACTTATAGGGTCTTAGTAGGAGATAAGCTTCTCTTTAGATCTTAATGTTCACAAATACTGACAGAAAGAATATTTTAGATGTTTACAGAGGAATTGTAGGGGACTAGGCAAGGTTCAGCCAAGGACCAGTCAAGGGCCCATCAAGGAAAGTGGGGACATTTTGAATGGCTGCTACTGTAACTTTGATGAGGTTTTTTTTTGTTTTTTCTTGAAGTGAAAGGAAAAGTCTGCCATTTGTTTGTATTTGTATTCAACCCAAATGCTTTGAAAACTTTTTTTGTTTTTTCTTTGCACAAAAGACAAATTGACAGGTCTACAAAATAGCTCAACCTCACTCAGACTCCACATCATAATGTTGACATCAAATTCCTTTAAATGATACAGTCCTCTCAGATATACTTACATAAGTGGCGACAATCCTCTCTGTCCGCTTTATGTGTCTACGTATTTCACATTCACTGGGCTGAAGGACTGTGATACCTTCATCGGAAAACACGTAGAACATGTTTCCCACGCTCAACCCTACAGAATGACAAGAAGAAAAAGTCAGAAATATATTGTCGCCTTGAAACGAACAAATAAAATCTGAGAAACTCTAAATGCCACTCTTGTCATATCTGACATTTGTGATGGACATTTCAATTTCAATGTCTGCCAGAGGGACACTGTAAGACTCTGGTTAGCAGGATATCATATTAACAGGCTTGGACAGTGTGTATTGCCTTGAAAGAGTCCTGCCAACAAATCTGGATCATACTGTAACAGGAGGGATAAACATTTTCTGGTTGGGGATAAACTTTTTGTCTGCTAACACAGTGACCTTAAATACATGACAAAAGAGAAAGCAAAAGAACAATGATTTTACCCCATCACACATTTGAAAGGCGTATTATGCCTCACCGTTTTAAGCAAATAGTGTCTAACTTTTCTGCATATGTGGTTCTAAGACCATTAAAGGCAATAGAAAATTTACATATTTTACTCTACTTGGTTAAAAATATATACCTATTTTTTACATTTACAGTAGATTGACATGAAATGTATTTTAGATGACATGAGACAAAATATATCGTCCTTTTCAGAGGAAAATGCATGTGTGCATGTCAGTATCTCCACATTAGAAGTATCCAATATAGAACCATACAAACACTACATACTAATTCAAAAACAAGCTGATCTGAGATCTGATAAGCTGATCTAACTGATCTGTTAATTTCTTTGTAACTTGTTTTTTTTTACCAATACTGTCCTACTTGGATTTATGCCATCCTTTACATTTTACAGTGATGATAGTTTGGAAATTGGATCAATTGTGGAGTTGATGTGACTTATTTGTTCAGTCCCTAAAATCCAAAGCTGTTTTTTTTAAAGGCACCACACTGAGTCTGCACTGTAATATATTTTGAATACCACTTTTGCTGTGTTTTTTTTTTTTTTTACTTAACATAATTATATCATCATGCATATGCCTCTTGTTGATTTGGATACAAATAAGAGAAATCACAAAGGGATTTAACTTCGTCAATGCCATCAGGCTTGGAAGAAATTTGCCCAAGAGGGTATAACTCTGTGACTGTATGGTTTTATTTTTATTTTCAGTAAATCGACTCGATAAATATGCAGCATTTGCTGAATCCTCAAATCTGCAAAAAAAACTAAAGCAATTTCAAGTTTAAAAATAAGATGTTTTTACAACTTTGAATGTGTTACCTTCTTCTCTCCAAAGGATGTTTGCAACTGCAGAGTTGGCCATTGAGCAGGGGATAAGAAAGAAGAGGGAAAAGGAAGAAAAAAACATTAATTATTCTTTGCTTAAATATATGCTGTAGTTGCAAAGTGATCTCACTTTCTTCTAACTCATAATATTTTTTTCAGAGAAGCCAACTGTTTCTCAGTTTAATTAAATGTCTAATTAAATCTCTCTAAGTGCTTAACATTATCTTGTCAGGGATGCAATCTCTTGAAAAAAAACAACACTTTTTTTTCCAGTCTGTTTTACGAAGATCACAGAAGACATTTAAAGACTTTACAGACCAAAATTCTATTATTTTTCATTTCAAAAATAAAAAATACATTTTATGCCTTGGTTTATTGAGTTCCTGTGAGATTCTCCTAAAATTACTTGCTGTGTTGAACATGCATAACTCTTACTTATGGCTAATGTGTAAAATCAAACACCAAAAAACTCTACTAAATAACTTTGTCTTAATCTAAATATTTTGGTCTCTGAGTGATTTGAGCTTTAATGTTTTTTGATTCTGTGACTCTGACCACTAGTGGATTAAAATCAATCCCATGCATACCATTGAAATAAAAACAGCAATAAAACTAGTAACATATGAATCTTCATTATGATTACATCTTTCCATTAATCATTTTTTTTTCTGCTTGTCCAAGAACATCTGAAGGAAGAATAATGATCAGGTGCTTAAATCCCCTCGAATGCCTCGTTTTAATGTTAGAAAGCAGTAGATCAGTCCTTACATTTAGTTGCTTTTCTTCATAATCCTGTTTGGTGGTGGTCTATATCTTTTTCCTATAGGAAAACATTTACCATCTGAATCTTTTATCTATTACTTAATGTTTTTAGGCAGTACACTTCTTTTAAGGGTGTTGTTTTTAAACCTGTAATACAACTTATATGCAAAACTGAATGTTATTAACGTACATGACCAACATTTTTAACTATTGTTGGGAATGTTATTTAAAAAAAATTATTTAAAGTTATTGTGTTGTCTGTATTTAAAGGTAAAATTGTGTACATTACTCACGAGTTTTCTTGGCTGAGTCTTCAACAAAGAGAGAGGAGATGTCCTCGTCCACTCCCACCTCATTCTTGGCGATGCACGTGTAGGCCCCGGTGTCTTCGTAACGCACACTCGCAATGAAGAGCTCGCTACCATTTGCTAAAAAACAAAAAAGGGGAACACACATAATTGCATAGTCTCTATTATCTCTAGCGAATTTTTGGGAGATTATTATCTGCAAAATGAAGCTGTTATTTTAAAGTAGCAGAAAGTAATATTATTTTATTTCAAAGGTATATTAGAGGATGTCTTTTTTTCCGACTGGATCATGCAAACAGCAATTACCCACTGTACCCACTCCCTCTTTGGGGTGGGTACAGGGTTGTGCATGTGCATGTGCATTTTTTTTTTTAACGTGGAGAGGGCGGGTCTTTTCAAAAATTCGCAAAAATCCTCCAATATACCTTTAATACAGCAAGAACAAAAAGTTGTTCAAACAAGACGTATCTTTTTAGATGAAATATGGAATCGTGTGCTGTTCTGCAATTGAGAAAATAGTCATGATCAGGGGGAAATTGCAACAATCCGAATACCTTGACAAGGCTGAAAGATTCGGCTGAAATCACAAAAGTAAACATAAGGAAACCACATGAAGAAACATGCTAACATTATCAGTATGATTGCGTTGAAATACGTCGTTTTACTTCACACTAGACCAAAATAAAGCTGCGGACATGTGCAACGACTTTCACAGCAATCACAGAAATACTGAAAATACTTGTTGTTCATTCTTTCAGACATTTCTTTTTTCTTTCATGAATTAAAAAATGGGGCTAATGCACTCATCTGCTGAAAAAGAAGGGCTGCAGAATTTGGCAATCCAACGATGAACCCGTCCGTGGAGGATCAGGAATCGGAAAGGTGAAATAACTGATTTTTTTTCACTTTTACCCAATTTATTACAACATCCAACTGCCATGCATGTGGGCATTGTCAGTTTGGCTATAGCTCTTGCGAATTTCAATGGTGAAGTCCTCTAGAAATCTGAAATAATTGTTGATTGCAGGTGTGAATTAGTTCCCATTGATTTTGCTTGTAAAGCGGGAGAATGGCGCTAGGCTTACTGGACTGGGATGTCACTGCACTCAAGATGTCAGAAGTGAGGTGTTACTACTGTATATCTGGGCAAAAATGGCCGGTCCCATTATTTGGGACCAGGGACTCAGTAATCGCGACGTAAATTATTATTATTTTTTTTCTGATTAATGGTAAATTCATTAAATCACCGCAAACATATTAGTTTTAGGTATAGATAATAATCATTGATTATTCATATGCCCTAGTGTTTCCAAACTTCTATTATTTCTGAGTACGGGAAAGCAGAAACAATTCATTTATGTGATGTTAGTGCTGTGTACTCTAAATATTGTTGAAATCTGAAGCAGAGTTTATTAACCCTGGTCCTTGGGGCCAACTATTCTTCTTCTTATTATTGTTATTA